AGGAGAAAATAAATAAAAAAGTAGAAAAACATTTGGAGAGAATAAATAAGAAAAATAGCTATAAAGAGATATTGTTGTATCATACAATACATAACTTGAAATATCTCCTAGGATACAACAAAGATCTTATCGGAAATCACTGGATTATATTAAGAAGGATATGTTCCAATGCCTACAAGGATAGTATAAAGTGCAAGTTTTTCATCGAAATGGTATAGAATCGGAAATGTGTACGAGACTTTGTCTAATATGTGTGTATGCGCGCCTCGCAACGATATATACTAACATACAAGCCACTGACTCCGATCACTCTTAGTAACACTAAGTAAACGCTATGGCATCATGATAATCACCGAAGGTGTCCTTATATCAAAATCGTTAGATAATAGTCATATATATATATATTATATATATATATACGAACGATTAGCGCGTGCGCCTGTTTCGCTTGATACTCGGATATGATCAATTCGTACATGTTTTTCACCGTGTTCACCGTTGAATCTCGTATCTCCATCTATTTGAAAAGAAAGAGTAATAAAAAGCAATTAGCGCTCGAAGGAAGCTAAGATACCCATATCCCACATTCAGCTAGATCCTTATTCCTTCCATACCTATGTGAAGATCATGCAATTGCATAAAGTTAATCCGAATAACTGTTAATTATTGAGAAATATTAGTTGTTAATCTTATGATTATGATCTTAAAAAGTGTTACGGTATCAGGTTTAATATCGCACATTTATTAATTATGTTATTTTCGGACAAAATATTAAAAATGTGAGATACGAATATAAACTTCAGCTTGAGAACTATTTAGGAATATTTTTTAAAAGTCTTGAGTGAATTATTATTAAAAGTCCCTTCCAATTTTTCGCTTATAGAAAAGTTACTGACAACAGCCGCTTTTAAGGCATCAGAACCGATTGCAGACGACAATGAGTGTGTGTTTATAGATTTCATATTATGAAATAGATAAATAAGATATCCGCAATTTTGTAAGCTCTGGTTACTTTTTAAGCCGATACATATAGATTCAATTATAAGAAAAATTCATAAAAAATCCATAGTTATCGGGTAGAAGAATGTGTTTTTGCAATCGGTTTAAAAACTATTCAACGTTAACTGATATGGTAGAATTCTGTATAATGTGATATGAGACTATATATATTTACTTCTTTGTTTTACGCAAGTTTAAGCCACTGTACCGAGTGCCCACACTGTATCAGACAGCACAAATTTTATCATGTTATTAACAAAAACTTTTCACTTTTCTTTTCATGTAAGATAAATCTAATTTTTCGAATATAGCTTAATATATCTTTTTTGCCCGGTTCTAGGAAAATCCGAATGGGTGATTTGTTTTTGCCATATCCATTAAGGATCGATTATATGTACAATAAGCTTGACGCATCGACGGTGACCGCGGGGCATTCGTAAGATACGTATTATCATCGGGCGAAAGGCAACGTACATCGCATTGATTAATATTTTATATATTTATATATATGTATTATAATTTATAATAATTACGCTGTAAGACTAGATTCTCGGCGGAATACTCTCACATTGTTTCGACTTTTCCTCAATGTTTACCAATTTAATCATGTGATCATATTCATTTCGCCGTGTTTTACGACAACGAGGCGCCGTCAATTGTTTGTTCGCCGAACGCCGTTCGCCGCCGATGGATTAGATTTTAAATCACTATTGTCCCACGTGATGTGCTGACACACAACTTACAGAGAGTTACATACATACTTAGACACCGTAGTCCTTAGATACGTACATAGCTATAGATTTCCTGGCTGATCCTTGGAGTAGGTCGTTCACACTTAAATTGTCTCTGCTTCATTTCATTCGATCGCTTCGCGGTGATCAGTTTTATTATGGAAAACAACGGAAATGTGGATGAGTTTGTAACTATTCTAATCGATCGGGAAGAACAAACGATTTTTTTTTCTTTCTCTTCGTATATTATGATGAGGAAAAGTACATATAGACTAAGTGAACTCTGCCTATCTACGAATTGTTTTCTTTAAAAGTATCTTCAGATTTTATAATAATATTCAATAATTATATATTTTATTAAGGTAAAGAATTCATACCAATAATATCAATATAAACAAAATAAATCATACCGCAAAATATAAAATTTATATCAATTATAAAATATGCTTTTATTTCGTACTTATAAATTTACATAATTTTTTTTCGCCAAAAATTCGATCTACTTTGATTCATATGTGTTATTGATTAATTATTATGTAAGAAATGATCGATTAATTTTTTATCATATTTCGAAAAATTATTGTCTCAAAAATAGCTTTTTTCCACTATTTTTCACTTATTCGACATATTAGGTTTACGTTTATTTTATACCGATAATCCAGTTGTAGATAATAAATAAAATTCACTTAGTTTATACACACTTTCAACAAACGTTACATGTTTTCTTTTTGTATCTAGGTATAAATGCGGATACACTATAAAGATGTGTTTGTGTATGTGCGTATATATTTTTGAAATAGCACCTACGTATATGTATGAAACAGCCATAAAAATGTTGAAACATATTCCTGACATTTCGAATATTGCTAAAATATTGTGATAAATTAGTGACTATAAATAAAATTTAAACTAAACAGTTATATATTACAAAATGAAAGAATTTCTTTATATTATACGGTCGACTTCAACATTTCGGATAATATTTTTATGATAAATATACAATTATATACTTGATATGGCAAGTATATATATATATATATACACACGTTACAGTATTCTGTAACAGATACGATACCTAGATACAAACGTTTAAAGCAAGAGCGCATTTAATTAAGATATTGTATCTGGAGGCTGTACCTAAATAAGTATATCGATATATTAGGTACTAATGTCAAGGTGCTTCATATACCCAGTTACCGACTTCAACGGTACCATACACGCATGTGGATGCATTCACATGATAAAAGTACTTTTGGCAGAATAAAAAGTGCCGCGACGTACTTAAAAAGATCGTGGAGAAGAATGAAGGAATTCAAAAGCGATATCAGAAAGCAGCGTTCGAACATCGGTTAAATGTATAACGTATACGTGTATTTTGTCATCGACATTTTTTCTCTTTTGGTACAGCCAAATTAGATGTGTTTCTCGTCGAACGACATGTGTGGAACGATTCGCGAATCTCTATTAGCCATATAAATGTAACTTTAAACCTGTAAAGTCCATACATAATTAACATGCGCTCTATCATATCTATCTATATATATATATATAATATATATATGTACACAATTTTACAAAACAAAATTTACAAACATTACGACGTACGGTCGGTCGAATAAATATATCCTCCGATGAGACTGGGTCAGGTCGCAAGTGAACGCTTCGTCGTATTTCAATTGCGCCTTGCATTACCGATCTCGGCTAACTGACAGCTCGTCATTCAGTGAACTGAAAGAGCTCACTGTTGACGACATCGCACGTCGAATATTGAAGCAAATATTGAATAAAGATTAAACATTGGCAGAAACAATGAAGAAGAGACACGCACTGGTATAAAATTTTCCTTTCTTTGTTTCTCCATATACGGAAAATATATTAGTTATTTTTATAAATTCAAAGATACGCCTCTTTTCACTGTTAAATGCAGACATTACACGCTGACACGCGTAAAACTTTCGCGAGGATCCTGTGAATTACTCTCTGCGAATTTTGCATTAAAAAATTCGGAAAATTTAAAATTATTATAGCTTAGCTATAGCTAGTTTATGGCATATATAATAAAATTCGGCGCAAAGAGAATGCAAAAATATCTGAAAGTTATACGAAAATAAGAAATATTAGGGAACCTTTGCGACTCAACGTGCGTATTATCGGATGTATGCGCGATCAAAATACAAAGCATCTCGAATTGTCTGACGCTCATTAACGATATTAACTTGCGGCCAGACGTAGGGAGGAACCGTGTTAGCGGAGAAGGGATCGAGCGAGAGATCAAGATGGCACGGGGGCAAGAGCGAGGATCTACGATGATCCTGCATGAAACGAAGCTCGCAGCGAGAAACGTCGTAATGTCGCGTGACGCTTTCGCCATCGAGCGAGCAATCTATCTACCCCACCAGCCACCGACAGTCAGTTTTTTTAAAGCCTCTTACGTGTGTATAAACAGTACTCCGACTATTCATTACGCCAGCAAATTTTCGTAGTCGCGATACTCGAATACTACACTTCGCATGTATACTAAAACATAAATCATGATAAAGATTAAATCTATTAAACTTATTATTAGTCCAAGATTTAAAATCATTAAAGAAAATATATTTCGTAAATAAATAACAGCAAAAGTACTAGCAAAAGCAAGAAGAAAAAAGATACTCAAAGTTGAATCGTTTTGATAACGATAATTTGTAAAAATAGTAAAAAAATATAGTAAAAAATATGCATCTTCATGTCTATAATATAAAATATTAATGTAATACACATACAATCTCTTCATTTTATTATCGCGTATTACATTTTACGTATCATTATTTACGTATTGACGTGATAAAATACGTATATGTATATATATATCGGAAAATTATATCGTACTTGAGGAACTTTCACCCGTTGCGCCCAAAAATTGCTAGCGGTCGTAACAAATTGTCGAGAGACTGTGTGAATTGTATGCAAAGGAATTATTCCTTTCTTAAGTTTTCGTAAATATGAACGTATGTGTATGTGTGTATGCGTATGCGTTTGCGCGTTACTCTTGATGTGCTGCTAGGAAGCTGACTAGATTAAGTCTAAAATACGAAATATCCGGGAAATTATCGTTTTCGATGATAGCAGAATCTCGTTCCCGCGAGAGTGAGTTGTCACGAATTCTCAACAGAATTCTCAAGAGAAAAAAGAAGCAACTCAACGCGTTCGCTGTATCTACTAACGAGAATCCCGGTGTTCCGTATCGACGTTGACTACTACTCGACCTTTGGAAAGGTCGAACGGCCTCACCTAGGCATTCGACTCTTTTAGATTGTCGAAATACTGCATAATCTGATTATAGTCCATACCCAGATTAAGGTCATCGAGAGCCACCGATTCTTCTTGCTCCTGGGAGGAGGATGAGGCGCAAGAGGAGCTAGAGGAGGATGAGGAGGAAGAAACGGACGGTGATGAAGATGGCGGAGATGTTGTGGTAGACGAAGCCGCACCGCCAGTAGGAGTAGATGAGTTTACGGTAGAGACAACGGTGGATACCACAGCGGAAGTGGAAAACGACGAGTACATTGGATTACCAACTATAGTCGCCCTCTTAATTTCCCGTGATCTCCCAGCGTCCTTTGCGAGGTGCCTATTGTTATCGTCGTGATTCACCAACTCCACGAATTCCTCGTCCTCGCCATTCTGCTTGTTTGCGTTGTCTACTTTAGTTTTCCCATGCGACTTAACTATATGATTTGACTGCTGCGGTACTTTACTATTGTGCCGATGATTATTTCCGTGATGGCCGCTGCTGCCACCGCTAGACGCCCTATGGCGATGCTTCCGTGGCGCAGGCGGTTCTGGTAATCGTATGCCCACCCCCGTGTTCCTGTGCGGCGGTACCGGTGGCTTGTAGTCTTCGTTATTGCCGTTGCTTGCATTGTTTGTGCCGGCCGTCGTGGTCGCCGTAGTTGTCGTTGTTGATGTCGAGTTCGTGATCGGTACTCCGTGTGGCGGCAAGGGCGGAGGAATATCGTCGTTGCTATAAACAAATTTGTAATAAGATTTACGCACTCGCGAAGCTATCACTATAGACAATATCATTTCGTTAAAATTGCTGATATTGTTAGACGCTAAAAGTGATATCTAAAAAGAAGTTACTTATAACAAATTGTATGATATTTTAAACTTCTTCTAATACAATATTAGTAAATATTATACAATTTGTTGTATAAAGAATTTCTTCTTGGATATCACTTTCTTCTCTGTTAGAAGATATATATATATATATATA